GAACCGGAATTGGTGCCGGCTGGTTCAAGCAACCGAGCAAATTTTAATCTCCTAAATGGAACTGTATATAGAGGATAACACAACTATATCTTTTATGAATAATTTTATCTAAAATTCTTATATGTTTCCCAGTTTGACAGTCTTGGAAAGGATTGGTGAGAGAATTATGTCGGCTCCGAATAGAAAAAAGAAAGTAGATTAAAAGTTCATTTATCGAGCAGGTTATAAAATATCAGAGACCCGTGAGGAACCGATAAGAAAAGCCATTTATTATGTTTGTCGAGAATGTTTTAAGCAGATAGAGCGAGAAATAGCCGAAGTAGAAAGGAAGAAAAAACGCCGAGACTGAATTATTATTGGACTTTGTGCGATTGGAGTAATTGCTGTGCTTATTGTTGTGGCACTTTTAGAAAAAAGATAAAACTAAAATTTTAATTAAAATTACTTAATGGTAAAAGTTGAGGAAAAGATTACTTATCGTCCTTATCTAAAGAGAATTGTGGTTAACAATTGAGAATTTGATACGATAATTATCAGTTCTCATTACGAAAAAGAACACGGCTCTTATATGAGTGATGAAAAGATATTGAAGATAGTGAAACAGTTAGATAAGAGAAACGACTTCACTCCTAAACTCCAAGGTAAATTACCGGGTAGGGTAGAATGGCAATCATTTTTTTGAGAACCTTTTTGCTATGATAAAAAAGCCTATCGGTTAATTTGATATTGAGAATTAGATACTCCTTGCTTGTGAATCCTTAACTGCTATCGGCGAAGTAAATTTGATAAAAAATGTTAAAATTTTCAAATATACAAAAGAATATGAAAAAAAAGTTAATCCAAAACAAAAATGATTACGCCCCTCGTTTGCCCGAGAAGCAAATAAATAAAATTGTGCGAGAATTGTCCGACCCTAATCTTTCGCTCGCTCCTTATTCTCCCAACCAAGCACAAGACTTAACTAATAGAGTAGCCGATATAGTTAGCGAGTTAATGAACGAATATAATCACAGAGTTATTGAAATTATTGAAAAAGAGAGAAAAGCAGCCTTTCAAGCCGGCCTAAAAGAGGGAAAAAAGCACCTTAAATTAAATAGAAAATAATCCTCATTATGAATGACTTCTATAATGATTTATGAAAATTACTTGATAACCAACGAGGTAGCATGGATTTACATAAATACAAAGAAATCTGCTTTGATTTAATTTTCCTTTTAGCAGTTAACCGAAAATTTGAGCAACGAAAAGCCGAATTAGACTCCGAAGATAAAGAAGACCCCGACTATCACGAATTATGACTGGAAAAGGAAAGTCGCTGAGACTATATTAGCCAGCATGTTGATACTAAAACTAAACCAAGTAATTCATGACGCTCTTTTAACCATTGAAAAATCTAATCCTGACTATAAAGACCTGACCCATAAAGATACTTTTCTAAATAAAAATCTGGACTTTCAAAAACTTTCTACCATTTTCCATGACTTCGATAATGCTTTTGCCAAGAAAGAGAATAATTTACAATTAGATTATTTGGGCAATACCTATCAATTTTTCCTTCAACAATTTGCTGCCAGTAGCGGTCGAACCGGCGGAGAGTTTTATACTCCAGCTTGCGTGGTTCAATTATTAGTTAACCTGCTCCAACCTTTTCCCCGCCCTAATTATGAAATAGTAATTTATGACCCGTGCTGCGGTAGCGGCGGCATGTTCGTCCAAAGTCAAGAATTTATTACTAAAAATAAAAAAAATAATGAGAATGGCAATTTGGATGCTTATCAGCCCCTTTGTCTGGGACAAGAAATTGATGATAGCACTTGAAAATTAGCCCGAATGAACTTGCTTATCCATAGTTTAAAGTTTCATTTAGGACTGAAAGCAGAAGATACTTTTAAAGAAGATTTACATCCGAACAAAAATGCTGATTACATTATCACTAATCCCCCTTTCAATTTGGCTAATAAACATATTAAAGAGAATGACCCCCGCTGAAAATGAGGAATACCACCGAAAAATGATGCTAATTTTGCTTGAATAGAACATTGTCTTTTCAAATTAAAAGAAAAAGGAGTGGCGGCAATAATTATGGCTAATGGAACTTTGTCGGGATTGAATAAGAAAGTCGCTAGCATCCGGCAAAATTTAATAGAAGATAATTTGGTGGAAGCCATAATTACTCTGCCAAATAACTTGTTTTATACCACCGGCATTGCTCCTTGCGTCTGAATTTTGCGAAAGAATAGAGAAAATAAAAATATATTAATGATTGACATTTCCCAAGACGGCTTTGGAGAAAAAGTTAGCAGCAGTCAAAGAATATTAACTGAAAAGAACATCAGAGAGGTTGCCGAATTGTATCACCAATTTCGCGATAAGAAAAAATTGACTGAAAATGGGTTATTAGCAAAAATCATCTCCCGAGAGGAAATTAAAGAAAGCAATTATATTTTGGTTCCAGTTCGTTATTTATCTCAAAATGAGATTGAATTAACTCCAAAAGAAATAGATGAAAAATTATTGAAAACTACTCTTAAATTAAGAAATTTAATTAATCAACAAGACAACTACCACCAAGAATTAAAAAAATTGCTGGAAGAAGTTGAAGGAGAAATTAAGGAGAGGTAAATGGTTATTTGTAATTGTATGCCAAGAAAAAACAGGATAATACGGGAAGTAAAAAAATAACTTCTGTTGCTGTGTTTATTTGTTTAAGTTGTTCTTTTTTGGCATATTATTTCTTAATTGACTCATCACAACCCAATCCACAATTTTTAGGGCAGGTGATAATTTCTATGGTTCCGTGGAGAGGGGCGGAGCATTTATAACCTGGATGGCAGCGGCATTTTAATATTGTTTTTGGCATGATTTTCTATTTCTTTCGTTGCTTACTATAACACTCCAAAGCCTTTTCCAAAACCTCATTATAATGCTTTCTTTCCTCATAAGCAATAGATTTTAATTGTTCTATTCACTCCTTTTTTACCCTTGTGGCGAATAAATGAACCCGCCCAGTTTTTTTTAAGGTTCTTTTATCAATATTTAGGGATTGAGTATTTTCGCTGGTTTCATTGATAGGGGCAGTGCCTCAGTTTTTTTTCTTATTCATATATTATATTTTAATGTTAACTGCTAACCTAGATAACAGTTAACACCTTTTTAATATACTTTTTACTAACCCTTTTACTTGCTCCTGTAATCTTTTATATTTTACCTCGCTAATGCTTAATCCTTGATTCTGGGCTTCTTGGTAAGACACTTTTTCTTCCAAAGCAATTGGGAAAATAAAATAACCTGTTTGCGATAAATATTCACGAGTGGCTTTTTCCATAGCAGGAGAACCAACCGCATTAATCAGGAAATTTAATTTACTTTTCGGAATTCCCGCTTTAAACAATCCATTAAATTCTCTAATGGCAGGATTTAGGTCATCCAAACTTGGCCTGACTGGTTGAATAATTAAATCAGCCTGCTTGGCAATGGCTAAACTTTCTTTACTTATTTTGGCTGGTCCGTCAATTATTAGATAATCGTGCTGGCTTTTAGTTAATTTCTCATCAAAAAAAGGGAGAGATTGACAGTTAATCAATGGTTTTATTCCTTGGTTTTTTCTCCTTTCCGCCCATTCTTGGCTGGTTTTTTGTTGGATATCGAGGTCAACCAGTAAAGTATTTGGTTTTTGCTTGGTAAGTTCGACCGCCAAAGCCCGAGCCAGAGTGGATTTTCCTCCCCCGCCTTTTTGTGATAGACAAGCAATTATTTTCGGTGCTTTTATACCAGTTTCCTTTTTTTTAAGTATTCCCATAAATTACAAGCAGACATTATTTTTTCTTGGATTTCCTCCATTTCTTTTTCACTGACCTTCCCTAAAAAAGAATTTTCAGTAATTCGTCCCAAACTATAAGTTTTCAATTGGTCGATCATCGCTTTCCCTTTTTTGCCATCAATTATTACTTTTACTTCAAAGGGATAAATTTTGGCTAGTTCAGTTTTTTTAGTGGTAGCAGGCACTATAATACAGCGTTTATTCCATTTATTTAATCCTTCCACGGAAATTACAATTCCCGGCCTAGTTTTCATGGCTTCGGTGCCTTCGGTCTCTTTGCGACTGATGCGGAACATGTAAACTTCACGAGGATAAACAATGGTAGGTTTGGAATATTTATTAGTTTTTAATATCACTCTACTTGGCATATTTTCTGCTTAATTCTTCTTCATCCTCCTCGTCGGCTTTTTCTCATAAGGCAATTTCCTTTTCCCGTTCTTTATCCTTAATAGCCTCGCCATAATCAGCAAAAATATTTTCTTTGCTTTTCATTTCAATATATTCCCGTAATTTATCTTTTTTAGTTGGTTTTTTATCAACTAAAAGTTGGTTATAAATGATTTCATGCTCGATATGATTTTTGGCTAAAATGCTTTTTAATTTCTCGGTGCTAGCAGTTTTAATTATTAACAATTCAGTCATAATATTATATTTTAGTTTATTTTTCTAACCAAGATAACAGATAACCATGTTAGCAGTTAACATAGATAACAGTTAACTTTTATGAGTTTTATGTTTACTATCGCCCAAGCAGTCTCCTATAACTGCTTCCCCGATACCCCAATTAACTAAGGTTAATTTTCCCTTTTCAAATTTAGGCAAATTTCTTCATCTCTCATTCTTCTTTTTCCAACTCTCTAATTTTTTCTCGTAATTCATTACACTCTCTTTCTAATCTGCTGCTTTTATTCATTCTTTTGATAATTGTGATGATTAGAATGATAAAACCAATCAAGGGCAAAAATATTCAACAAATAAACCAATAACTTGCTCAAACTTGTTCTCTCTCTCTCTCTCTCTCTCTCTTGGAGTTGCTGTTTTAAACGCTCAATTTCCTGGGCTAATTCAATTTTAGTGTATTTTACCATATAGAATATTTTACTTTTTTTTCTACCTTGGCTAATTTAGTGCCAATTTCTACTTCCCTAAATTTCAAAT